ACACACACACACACACACACACACACACACACACACACACACACACAACCACAAATTACACCCAAACTAATGAGAGAAATAAATGTAGGTCATACAAATATTTCTCTCGGCCCGGGAATCGAACCTGGGACCTCTGAGTGGCAGTCCGGCATGGTAACCGTTCTGCCACAGAGGCAGTTATTAAGATATATGAAACATAAAAAAAATGTCGTTTATTTAAAAAAGTGCACCTAAGCAATAGATCAATTATATTTTTGAGGATCAAATAACATAATCCCATTTTGATTTAGCTAAGTTCAGTTCGCTAGTCACGCGGTTAGGTCACACAGTTCAATAAGTCGCGATCATTCTGTGAGACATACCATAGAAATTATATTGCTAAGGCGAGTCGATTTATTTTCGGACATAAAATTAGTAGTCAAACCAAGCAAATGACAAATTAACGTATAGAGATTAAAAAAAAAGATAATTAGACCCGATTCGTCTGTACTTTAGTTAGTATACGTAATGAATTAATAACGCACACACTCAAGGGAACCCTGTACCGCGGACGCTATGGACGCACACACAGAAAACCACTATGTGCCTTATCTACGGAATAAACGTCCCTACCTAGACCAAAAATGTTTACCACAAATGGCGGATTCAGTGTTGTACCATAATCATGAGAAGTCAATATCGACATGCGAATGTATGGCTTGAATGTTGAAACTGTTGTAATTGTGTTTTATGTTTACAAATTTGTGTAGTTTACTGTAATCAATGTATGATTAATACTAGGCTATTATTACTAGGCAAGTTATGAGCCATTTTAATCAAAATTAAATATAAATTATTTACCGATAAATGTAACGATGGAATTGCATTATCATGTATGTGTAATCTAATTACATTCAAAGTTCTATTTAAATGAACGGAGCGAACAAACGAAGATGGTATTTGATATTTATGTTCTGCAGTCCTATAATTTCCAACCATTCTTTCTTTATTTTTTCATTTGTAGGTAAACTTTAAAAATAATACTAATGAAATAATAAAAACCTCGTAGTGAATTGTTTCAATAACAGAATATCGATAATATATCTGCTTACAAGAACAACACTATCTCAAAATAATCGTTATCAACCATCATCAAAATATACTAACAGGCAATCTAAAGCGTTTTGAAAAAAATACAGAAATTGTCTTTAAATGTCTCACTATTGTGCGAATAAACCTATATTTGCTGTTGGAATCTATTGAAGAACATATTCTTCAACTACAATGTTAAGTTTGTACGGAAACCTCTCCGCGCGAGTTCAACTCGTACTTGCCCGGTTTTTTGGTTCTATTACTTATCTGCAAATTCACTGCTGTGATGCACTTCTATGTCATCATATCATATAATAATTATAATAGTTATATTTGTTTGTAGGTTACATTGAAGCCAACACGCAAGGTATCTTCATATGTGTACAGAGATATATCGCCAGTACCCAGTAGCTCTATAGCAAACGACCTCGATCAAGATATATCCCCGAGGAAAATTGTTGAACTTGAAAATTGATCTTCTTAACAGGCGCCTAGATACGAAAAGAAAAACCTGAAAAACTATCGCACCGTAACTGATTATGGGTCTTATCACCGTTTTGTAGAGCCATAGTGTTATCTTGGGTGAAAGTGCCCACTGTTTACCTACCATCCTATGGCACTGCCAGTGATAGTAGCTTTCTTAATTTTGTATTGAATCATTAATTAATTAGTTAATTAACGTCACGGCGTTTTGCGATAAAACATTTTGGTGAATACGACGAAGTGAAATGCCGGTGTAATATGTTAATCGATATCAAAGTTAAATCAGTGGATGGCGCAACACGATTTATCTTGCACACATGCACATTATACGCACACAGATGTATTTTTGTTTTGGTCTCGTCTTCAATACTTCAGGGCCAATCTATGGATATACTAAATCTATGGGTCCAATCATATTGTTTTGTTTTTGATGTTAGAAATTTCAATGTAATAATAAATTCGATGTTACTATGAAGCAATAATAACATTTTCATGATAAGAAATTTGTTCTAACAAAACAGTTTATCCTTATGCTGGTCGTAATTTGCGGTTTCTGAATACATCATAAACGGCTTATGATATGTGTCTGTGTACATAAAAGAACTTTCATCACACTTGCTCGTAAATAGTATGATTGCATGGTGGCTAACTTGACTATAATCTTATCGATATTTCTTTTATTTTATTTTAATTATTTTCTGCATAAAAATTTAGCTAATTTTTTTTTTACTGTCCGTCATGACGTATGCGTCTTTGCTTTTTACAACATTTTAGTTCAAGTTGTATTATGTATGAAAGAATGGGAAGCTGGCTATCTGTAGATAAAACAAAACAAAAATCTCACTATTTGCAAAATGCATAATATTGTTGTGTTGTGAACCATATTTATTAATACAAGAAATAAACATTGTATTACTTTCCTCGCAAATGTGATGAAAAACATTATATGTATCACGAACGCTAAAAAAATACAAAACTCGAGTTATAAAAGCCCTAAGACTCATGTTTCGGATTTCCAATAGACCCTCGTTAGTAATTTCTTATTTACCGTCCTTAAACAATGTACTATTAATTAATTCACGTCCATTCATCCACACTATGCATTAGCGCACCGTTAAACATGACATAACCATAAGATAACATATCGTCAGAACTTTTTTCACGAACGCAATTATTTTCTCCTCACGTACATCGCACTGGACATTAGGCCTGCACCCGCGTCCCAGTGTGCCGTGGGCGTGGTCTGACTTATGCGGTTCACCTATAAGCAATGTAACTGCAACTAAGGTAATGTGATGAAAATTTAAGAGTAATGAAATAATAAATAATTACTTTAAATATATATGTCGTAAAAATAATTTATACTATAAATTATCAGTAATAGACAATAAGTTATATCACTTAACTTCAGTTCAGTTATAAACGAGCTACAGTTAACGCTTTTGACGTTGGTTCAAGTTGCACTTGCTCGTTTAAGGCATCATCGATATGATGTTTAAATTTGATTTTGAAACCAATATAAGGTGCAATCAACAACACAACAAGCCATACACTTTTTTCGAATGTCGCCTCCAGACCAACGGAACAAAACCCATCAATGTTTAGCTTGATATGCTGCCGTCCGAACATTTGAATAAAATTAACAAAAATTAAATTGATGTTTTAAATAATTGAATTTTCAATAGGTCTTGAACACCACCATTACACGCGTTAATTACATTTAAATTGATTATAATAATGTCAGGTTGAGTATAAAAACGTAAATATAAATCATCAATATGAGAAGATTCCTTTACAGTAATACTGTATGCAAGGATTAAATATGAATTTGGCTCACCCCGGCACCGCGTTTTACTTCGTGCCAATCGTGCCATCCTGTAACATAAACATGAGATGATACCGACACGATACTAGTTCCACTCGTGAATAGTAAAAGCAGATGCTACCCTCTGCCGGGACGCAGGCTTAAGGCCCTAATAAGGTTATGTTTACTTGACAAAGTAAAAGAAAGCTCCGGCTTATTTGGCGGGAGGTTAAGGAGAGAGTATTTACTATTAAATGTGGTAAAACCGATTACAGTACCGTCATTAATGTCTGTACCAGCAGACGTCATTGTTACATAGCGTGTTTTATTTATAAGACTTATTTTTACTATTTATACACTACTTACGTACTTTATTGATATGTCTGTGACAAATAGAGGGAAATGTTTGCGACCTGTGCAACTTACTAGGTGACTAACTGGGTGGCTAATGTGCGGCGCGGATCTGGTTGAGGTCGTCGTCGGAGTCGGTGGGAGGCGCATGCTCAGAGCCGGCCAGCACAGTCAGGTGCGTAGAGTCGCTTTGTAGCGTGCTGCATTCGCCGCCGCCGCCGCCGCACCCGCTGCCGCTCCAATTACCGCACTGTGCCTTCTTCTGCAGCGCTTGCACATACGACTGGAAAGTTGTATCTCATTTCAATTGTCGTCAATATCACGTTAATTCTAGGAACCGTGATAAATATTTCATAATTATTATTAAATATAACATTATTGTAATACAAACTAAAACGGATTATCACCGAACGTCATCACAAAAAACACAAACTCATGACAGAGTCTTGCGCGCATTGCGCGTGACACGCGCCTAAGGTCGTTGTCCCAAGGTCATGTCTACACCGGGTACAATTTTCGTACCATTTGCCCACACAAAAAAATGACGTGGAACTAACCTGTGATATAACGTCCCCGTGCGCAGTGCGGACCTGGTACAGATACCTATACTTCCTCTGTTTCATTTCGGCGCGCTGCTCACGTGTCACCGGCCGCGACTGCTGCGCCTTCAGCCGCCGCTTCTGAGCCATTATACCTAATAACATATATTATTTATATGAATAACAATCATGATCTGGTTTCAGGCGGATTTATATTTGTCTGACGTGTCGTGTCGATGGTTAGCGTTCACATCACCTGCGCTTGCACACTTGTTTGATCAGATGTAACGCGGCCGCTCCGATGTAATCTCACCCGTTCTGACGCGGATCGGGGTCGCTTCTGATGCGACACAACACAAGCCGTCACGTCAGATTGCGACACACTTATATAAATTTTAATTTAAAATTAATTTTAAAATTTCGAGTGCACTGGGTTTTTTCGACTCACTTCTACGGTAAGGTGAAAACAGATTGTTACTTCTCCGAAAACACTCTTCGAGGACATTTTATCGAAGATTAGTTAAGATATTTTTTTATTTTAGGACATTTTCGTGAGGTTATCTATCTATGGGCATGTGTGTGTACCATAGACTCATTGCCAGCATAAAGACGAATAGCTATTTTTTTTAATTTGTGAACCCTCAGGTCCAGTGGGAAATTATATATAATTAATATTGTACATGGATATAACTACGAAGTCTTCGGTTATCACTTGTGATGTTTAATATCATACGCAATATAATAACTCCTTCAGGACGCTGCTGCGGCTGCCACGGTTTTTCAATGCGTCGGCCATGTTTGCCGATGCTCGCGTCGACAGCTTCATGGCACTCTTACGGAAGAAATCTGCGTCTTTATTATATCTATCATTAAGGGATTGACGAAGGGGAAGTCACCTGAGCATGATGGCTAGAGCGTAGGGCATTTAAAACACGCGGGTGAGCGATTACCGGGGGTGTTGTCTCAATTATTTAATCTTTGTTTGAGGCACTCGTACTAACTGCCGGTTTGATGCAGACGGTGGTGGTATATGTGGCACATTTTCAAAAGCATAACATACTTGCTTTACCTTGTTTATATATATCTAAAAGTAAAATGAAATAATATATAGTAAATTAAATAACAATTATTATAACATACACATATATTTTATGTTTTGTTTGCATTTAAATTTCATATTAAAACATGTAAATTTGTATCTACTGGTTTGCTCCTCTCTCCTTTCCATTATATTGCGTGCGCGAAGGGGTCCATAATATTGGTCTTTGTTGTATTTTCTTATACTATGGTTTTGCAATAAAATATTGAGTATTGACTACCTCTTATTAAGAACAAAACGGGGGATGTGTCTGACAAAAACAATTACAGACCTATATCGTTGGCCACTGGCAAAGGTACTGGACGGTTTGCTTGATCGCGTTTTAACTAAACACCTAAAAATTCATGATGCGCAGTTTGGGTTCAGGCCTGGACTTTCTACAGAGTACGCTGTGTTTTGCCTTAAGCATACTGTTCGGTGTTACACGGACAGAAGTACGCCTGTGTATGCGTGGTTCCTTGATCTGTCTAAGGCCTTCGATATGGTCTCGTATGACGTGTTGTGGCATAAGCGGATTTGTGAGACAAATCTCCCGTTTGAGATTATTGGGCTGTTCGAGTTTTGGTATCGAAATCAGATCAACAATGTTAAGTGGGCTGGGTCGCTGTCGGAACCATACAGGTTGGGATGCGGGGTGAGGCAGGAGGTTTAATGTCACCTAAGCTCTTCAACCTGTATATAAATGCATTGATTGTTGAGCTCAGCAGTACTAATGTTGGCTGCTCATTAGATGGCGTTATAGTTAACAATATCAGCTATGCAGATGACATGGTGCTGCTGAGCCCATCAATATGTGCCCTCCGCGAGCTACATAAGATTTGTGAGAATTAAGCTGTTGCCCAAAGACTCAGGTATAATACAAAGAAAAGTGAGCTCCTGGTGTTTAAGCCGCGAGGTGGAGAAGTGGGCGTTGTCCCGTCGGTCTCCCTTTGTGGCAGTGAGCTTACAGTTTTTAAATTTAAATACCTGGGTCACTGGGTGACAGATGATCAGTCCGATCTGGTGGATATAGAGAGAGAACGGAGAGCCCTTGCAGTCAGATCAAATATGCTCGCCCACAGGTTTGCACGTTGTAGTGGGGAGGTAAAATTAACGCTTTTTAAAGCATACTGTCAAACCTTCTACATCCTACACGTGTAGCCTGTAGATAAAGTATAATAAGGTGACCCTAAATACGCTGAGGGTACAATATAACAACGTGTTTAGGATGTTGTTACCACGACACTGTAGCGCTTCAGGCATGTTCGCTGAGACACGCACAGATGGCTTTCATGCCATTCTGAGGAAGCGGGTTGCCTCGCTTTAGCGACGTGTGCGTGGGTGCCCCAACAGCATTTTAAAATTTGTGGTAGATAAAATTGACTGCCCCATCCAGGCCCACTGGATGAAACTTCATGTGGCGGTTTAGTTTAAGTTTACATAAGTGTGTTAGATTAATTTCAATTTTATATTTAAACAATCTCAATTTTATATTTAATGTTGTAATTCGTGGTTTATTTTTGAATTTTAATTGTATAATTTTTTTTTATATTAACTTATTTTAATTTTAGCATTTGAATAGCATTATACTAACCTTATTCCTAAGTTCTTTACTAACAAATTATGGATAACTGTTGTTGATCCGAAATAAAGTATTATTATTATTAAACAGAATACGTGGCAGCAGCAACGGCCTTCTGAAGATTGTCACGGCTAGGTGTAAGTGCCTCATGATGCGGCATTTAATAATAAGCACAAAATCCGTAGTAAAACTTAAGTACTAACATAATAAGTTTTTTGTTACTAACACATCATGGATCTTTGTCGTCCATAATAAAGATTTATTATTATTATTATATCAAAGAAAAAACAATTATACATTTCACATGTATATTTCTAATGATGTATTATTGATTTCTAAATATATTTTCATTATTAACATTTTCATGATTATTTACTTGTAACACTAGAATTTTACGTTAAATAAATTAAGGAGTCAAAATGCGAAAACAAATATGCATTTTTTTATATTTGCACTAGTAATTGCATTACTTTATGGTCATAAAAGGTCATGGCTTACAAAATGCGTGAGGGAGACCACACAGCCACTAAGACAAAAAACATATTCATGTGCAATAGTATAACAAGGAGGGAATAAATGGTATTAATTGGATACTGTGTTACAATTTCCCTGTTTATATATACGTAACATTTTATTACATATGCAATGTCAATATTAATAATATTATAAACATTTTAGCCGATTCCTTTGTGAAATTAATTAACAAAATGTTAACTGTACGTGTTTCACAGTCAACAATTTTAGTTCCGTTCGAGCGTTTATGAAGAATCAAAGGCGTTTGAAAGCCCATCGATAGCGCCATCATCCGTCACTGAATCCGTTAGAAATTTCAAATCGGTCGTATTATATCCAGATGTCAGTTGGTCTAATACGCAAGTATATTCTTACATACTTTGGAGAATTTGATAAATCTTTTTATCGTATCGATGGCATACAGTGTTATATAACGCTAACCATCTTGGTGAAAGAATTTGCCAATCAGCTCGCTGACTGTGGCCCAAGGTATGGCTGACGTACAAGAAAGGAATTGTTTGTGGGGTACACAAAAGGAGCCGCCTTTTGGTAAATTATTCGTCCTAACGTGAGATTTTTTAATTTTTCACAAAGAAATTTTTATTAAACACAAGCACTCACTTTGCTCATGGTAGATGCCAGTTGCGGTTAGCGCACATTGCGCAGTGAGACCCACGATCGCGGCAGCCGGCCAAGCGGCCAGCGTCAGCCACGATAGCCGGCATGGTGGCGCCACCGCCGGCTCCAGCTTTGCTCTCTCCCATAGCTATAACATACAATATACCAATGTTGTAATTTAAGATATATATGTTACGTAAATAGATGGTCATCATTATAAAAACGTCTCGTCCCGGTAGCACGGATTCGATTCCTGGAGTCGGAATTAAACTTTTTTTTTTGGTTTCAAGGGCGAAGTAGCAATATATTTTTGTGAAGGATTTTTAATGTCCTCAAACATTTTTTGTCTCCAAAATGGGGTCTTTGCTGATGTTACGGCCAGTTAAACCAGTTAAAGGCTCCAACAGAGATTTCTGTACATTGTGACATGTAAGTGAGAGGTCACTCTATTCATTACACTTTTAGTTATACATTAGAGGTATCGACTCGTATTAGTAATTAGAAATCTTTTTTGAAATTATTCTGGACGTTAATGCGAGTAGTGCTGACATAGTATAGTAGTTGTTTATTTTACTCCGGTTCTCGTTCGAATATTATGTAGTTTAGGGTATGTACATTGATACTTGGAAGAAGAAAGGGCGTTACAGCCTATTCTATCAAAAATTCGTTCACAAAATGACGAGTAAAAAACAAAACTATTCATAAACGTTTCGATTCATACCTTTTTTATTTTTATGTCATGTTTACGTAAAAGGACCATTTATGGGCAAATAACAAAACCTTGCGTTCTACTCGATTGGAACTGATAAATTTCTGTAAGCTTCTTAGTTTTGCTTTTTATTCTTTTTCTTTTCCGAAATATCGATATATTGTTTACTTTAAAATGTTACTTTAACTGGACTACAAACATATTAAAACAAAGAACGTATAGAAATAACTGGTGTCACGTTTCATCTCGGTAAAAAGCGTTTCAAGCCACGCGTAGAATGCATTAGAGGCACAAGAGCATGGCGGATGCAAGTAATTGGCTCGAGTACTGGCAAATAACTCGAGAATACTGACCCACTTGAGCATCATCATGCGCTCGAAGAAATAATCGAGAGATGTTGCTATCACCGCACCGCCGTACACACTCGTACCGAATATTGTTAATACTGCAAACAAAAACGTTCTTCCGTTAGTGGTACTAAAATAAAGTAATGTAATTTGCTCTCAAAATGTAGAAATTCTGAATTACAAACAATTTTTTTTGACCGGCGATTTTCAGAAAATCGTTAAGGATTTTTAACGTAAGCAGGAAATTCCCACGGAATGCTGTTTGCAAAGACAACCTTTTCCCAACTAGACTATCTCAGCTTAATTACGTTGTAAGTTATATAAAAACTAATGAATATAGCCTTAAATGCAACATCGATTACGTTGGTTGCCAAACTACTACCTACTCGTGACGAATTAAGGAATTTCAAGTAGTTTTCAAGTCATTTAAATAAGTATTGGATTATTGTAGTATTTTCTTCTTTTGTATGAATACTGTTAATTCAGTAATAATTTTTGTTTAAAGACATTTAAACAGACTTTTATTCCCAGACACCTATTCAGAATATGTTAGTATTAGTGAAAAGGAGATTCATTTTAACGGACACTTAGGCTCCCAACAGATGGAATATGGACGGCACGTCTACAGTTAATGAGTGCAGTTGTGATTAGTTGTGATCAATAAATAGCACGCAGGCACAAAGTTGAATTCTGCATGCAGTCGAGACTTCAACTGCGTGCAGTCCAGAGCTCCACTACAAGCATCTGGTGCAGTTGATGTGACCGTTAGTCCGAAAATCAAAAGTAACAGATGATATTCTTAAGATAATTATGATTCTTTGTGTCTAAAACAACATTACTAAAGGTCTTACTAAAGTAGTAACGGCATAAGGTAACGATTAATTGGAAGTTTAATCAACTTAAGGTGAGGTATTTCAACTCGAGTATAGATTTTAGGAGGTAATTTGTGGGTAATGTCGCTTCTCGCATCGCAATACGCGCGGTGTATATTAAATAAATAAATATAAGCGGTGAAAATTTGACACACACCCGAAGTCGACAAACGCCCAATGGCGACTGACGGGGCAGCGGGCGGCTAGATAATTTGCAAATTTTGGGATAAATGTGAATGTAATTACTATAAGGGCTTCTCTTAAAAACCAAAATTTAGCAGGTTCCCTGAATGCCAGATTGTCCGGCCACATTAAAACGACTAATGTAAAGTACCTCGTTTCCTAGTTCCAAACAAATTCTAGAAGGAACTTCTAGAAGTTTCATATTGCAAGTAAAAGTTTTCTGGTATTTACGTTGGCTAAATTTAAAATACACGCAACTCCGTTTTTGGACGAAATCCCTTTTTTACTCTTCAAGCGCAATATCGGGTAATTAAAGCTTAAAATATAATTTTTGTACACTTTTTTTTAGTTCTAAAATAGGTAAAGTTACAATCATAAATTGTCATGTAAAATTATTTCTGTTTATCGTGTAATTCTGTTTTTCGAGCCTACTCAAAAGTTCACATTAATGGAGTTTACGAATTTAGTCGAAGTATATACAGGGTGACCTGAAACTCCATACATTCCTTCTAAGGGGTGAAAGTAGACTTAATTTGAAACAAATTTAGTCATGGACAGGGTATGTCCAAAAATGAGTACTTTCGGAGATATTGAAGATTTTAGGTTTTTTGTTAAAAATCCCGATTTTCACCTTCATTTTTATTTTTTCTCAAATGTTTCTCTCTATTTCTTGTTTATTTTTGCTTTATCTGGTAGTTATTGAATCAAAGTTATTGTTTAATAACAA